CTCTGAGGTCAGATACAGTCTCTTGATTCTCTTGATGTCCAAGGGTTAGGATACTCATTGTGTTGTGACCGTGTTTCCCAGTCCTGGTTCTCAAGGTACACTGCCCTGCATGTTTTAGACAATAAATTAAATGGGGGGTTTCCAAATTAGTGAGGAATCTTTGTTCTGTGGAGTTTGTGGGAAATCACTTTATTGCTGTGACTATTTGTACTTCTGTCTTCGGTAAAGGTCATGCTCGTTTGTCTTTTCCATTTCAAAGAGAGGAAAACGTTGTGCCATTTTTATCTGAAATCTAAAGGAACATAACTTTAAATAACTTTTTTATACACTGTAACTGGTTTAAAAAAGTAAAGTATAAATAAAAGAAGTGGGTACATCCCATAATGATTTTATCAAAACACAAACACTGACTGAATTCACTTAAAATTTAAAGGTAGAATTTTTCTAAACACACTTGGCTGGATTATTTTTTACACATCACAGTGTAGTGTAGCCTAGATGACATGCACTTAATGAGAAAATGTTTTGAGACTTGAAACTTGAGTGGCATGATCTTAAAATTAGAAAAAAAAAAGTTTTGTTTTTTTTGTCATTACTAACAGGTTCAACTTGGAGTATTTATCACGTGGCTTTTTCAAGAACCTCAATTTCCACGTTGTGACATTTTGGGGCAACAGAGATTCCTTGGATTCATCTTGACTCATCCTCCAAAGTCCCTGACCACAATAAGAGGTAAGAACTCCACCTCACATGTAACTCTCTTTACAGCCACAATCAGTAAGTTAGCATTTTCACCAAAAATCAAGTCAGTTTATCGATCACTCTCAGTACAGTATCGTGACAGAAATGGCACTTTCACATCTCATCATCATGCCGGCAGCAATGTGGAATTTGTGCAACACAGTTAAAAAGTCAACACCAGCTGAAACCATTTTACTGCATCAAACTAATTCTGCTCAGACTCACATTTATCTGTCCTGAAGCTCTGAGATGTGATGAATATCTGTCAGAGTGGGGGGAAAAAAGTAACATTTAAAGTGAGAGAAAGAGAAACAGAGACAGAAAGAATGGCTGCTACCTCCACAGATGAAATGGCTGTGTGGGTGGATGTACATGTGAGTGCAGGCTGCTGGGAGCTATGAGTGGGAAGCCGGTACTGAGTGGGAAGAGGAGAGCTGCTTTAGTGAGACAATCAACACCAAGACCCACTGAAAGGCAGTCACGCTCTCATGGCTTATATGTTTTGCGAACCTGCAGAATGACAGCAGGTATTCAGGTTGGATCGGATTCTTGAAGATTGGCAGCTGAATGAGGATCTGTAGATGTGGGTTTCTTTCTGTTATTCACAAAACACCAAATGATGACTCAGATTATTGCAAGGTTTTATTAACGAACAAAACGGCATGGTTTACATTTGATACAACATTTTGTGGTCAAGTCAAATGGTAAAACAAATAGTTAAAACAGTCAGATGGACTTTTTTGTGACAGAAGTAAAAAAACATCAAGATTTTTCAACTGGCAACATAAACATAGTTGCATGATGTAGAAAGATCACCCTGCCCTGGTAATATGTGTAATTTTCTTAAACTCTGTACGTTTGGTCACATTTCAAACACAAGCTTTTCTGTTCTTAATCATTACTTTTTGTGGTATATAAAGCAAGTCAAGTAGGATGAAAATGACTAATTAATTTTGTTTTATGAATGAAAATATGAAATGATGGCCAGCATTTGTCTTCAGTCTCCATTCGTCAATACTTTGTAGAACCACCTTTTGCTGCAGTTACAGCTGCAGGTATTTTGGGACATGTCTTTAGCAGCTTTGCACATTTGCGCACTGACATTTTTGCCAATTTTTAAATGCCAAAAAAAAGTCTAAGCTTTGTCTGTAAGGAAAGTCTTGACACAGATCCCGAAGTCCTTTATAGCCTCAAAAAGTTTTCTCTCAGAAATGATCCATTTATTTTTTCAGGAAATTTCTCTAGTTTTCACCATTGGGTGCGCTTAGATAGATGTTCAGTTAGTTTACCAACACATATAGTGTTTTGCTTGTAAACCAAAAAGACCCCCAAAATTTGCTCTCTTTTGACCAGAGCTCAACATTGACTTATGACTTCCTAACATACATTTCTTTGCCATTGACACAAACCTTAGAAACTGGTGATTTTGCAAGGCAATGCACATTTTATTACTACCAAAGCATTTTAAATAGTTTTGGTACTTGTTAAGTGAATATTTAAATTATGTTGAGAAGATTTAAAAAGCCAGGTATAACTAAGAAAATACTATTTGTCCTATATTTAGTCTAATAAGATATGAAATAATTAATTAAGGAAGTAAAACCAAATGTTGCCATCATGTGATGAAAATTGCAATAGAAGATAAATATGAATGAGAAACAATGCTTAGTGTGTGTGAGCATCCGTGTTTGTGTGTTAATTTCATTCTGGACAAATTTAGTTTAATCTTAGGTGGGAAATTTGTTTTAAGAATCTATTTCATCTGGGAAAATATGGTCCAAGTCCCTCTAAAGCAGAGGTTCCCAAACTGTGGGGCGCGCCCCCTAGGGGGGGCGCCGTGTCATTGCAGGGGGGGCGCGGGAAGCCGTCTGGATGAAAAAAAAAAAAAAAAAAACATGAACACTGTATTCGCTGGGTTTTTACCTTAGAATGACCAACTCTGATACTCCTATGTCAATTTGATACAGTAGAGGCTTCCACACTTCCCATATTTGTGTCCTCTGTCACTCTTATCAGCAGTTAAAACTGTTTAATCCGTTGTTAACATGCTGTAACCTGTTTTTCCGAGCCGCCTCTAAACGCAACATGAGCGCTACACGCTCGCGCTGGGTTTTCACCTGTGAAGGAGACCTGCTGCTGCTGTGCGGAGCTACGTAGGTTTGCGTTAGAATCACGGCAGCAAACCAGCAAAACGCAAAGAACTTTTCACAGTTTTTCCCTCCAAACTAACCGACTGAGTTGAGTAAAGCTGTTGGATGCAGGTAATGTTAGCTAAAGATGACTAGCTAATATCAATACAGAACCTTAAGCTTAACAAGTACCTTGTAGGCTACCGATGTTGGTGTCTATTTTCAGCTACATACATTCATTTTGCCCCCCAAAAAGTCGATGCCCCCCCGTCACACGCGTCCTTTCAACTAGAAAGCCATTTGTAATCCATAGGGGGGGGAGCAGAAAATGTTTGGAAACCACTGGGGGGGCGCAGAAGAAAAAGTTTGGGAACCACTGCTCTAAAGTATGTCCTTGTTTACTCTTCCTCATCCTTCCTGTATGTTTATATTTTGGCAACAATGAGCTTAGGTATTAAAATCCTTTTTAGATTTTTCTTTTTTGGATTATGTTAAGAGTACTTGAGAATTCATGCATGCAGGGAGAGAACATGCATCTCTAGGCTGGAAAACCCTGTAGACTGGGATTTGACCTTTTTGCTGCAAGGCAGTGGTTGCTAACGCAGCATGACAGTGCCAACCAGTAATAAATTAATTTGGTAAACTTTAAACAAAAAGGATATCAATAGATTAGGCATATTACTGGATTATATAGATTGCTCAGAGGTGCACTTTGTTACTGCTTTAAAAGTTTTACGACTTTATGTCAAAATTCATTTATTTCTTGGATGTAAATTTGCTGATGCAGCATTTGCATTTCACTTACAACTCCAGAAAAAAAAAAAAAAAAAAAAATCTGCTCTCACAAACTGACAGTGTATAGAAAAGTCTTAAAAGGCTGAGTTGTTTATTGCAGGTAATGTAATTTTTTTTTTTTTTTTTACCATTTTCACACATTTTGAGAAAGACCATTTAAGAAGTTACCATGTCAGGATGAAAATTACTGGTGAGCGTAAGTCAGTGATAAGCTATTTTTTTCATTTATAAAATAGCCTAGGATTTTTAAAAATATTCAAATCGTGACTGTTATGATTTGTCATGATTGTTTGTCAAATCATGACAAGCAATCATATCTTTACCACCCCATGAGGTGATTATTAAATAATTGTAGTTTATATGAATCTTTAAAAAAAAAGCACTAACCTTTTTGAAACTCAGATTTTAGCTGTCAGTACATTATTCCATCAACACAGAACCTCTTACAAACATTGAATATTCTCTGATTTTAAAACTTACGCTGAAATCTTTTAGCAAAACCGCTAATATGGCACATCACCCTAAACAAACCTCATGCTAAAACGAGATGGAGGTGGCGCTGTGCTTCAGGCTCTTTATCTTTAGCAGGTGCATGGAGGCTGGTCACAGCTGATAGAAAGATGCATGGAGCTAAACAAAGGCCTATAATGGAAGAACATTTTGTGAGACTGTAAACGCCTGGAAGAGTTTCACCTTCCAGCTGAGCAATATCCATAAACACAACCAGAGCCACAGTAAAATTTAGATCGGGGTGCCAAGGGCCACTATCCTTTTTACTTCACATTTACTTTGTTAGTCTACTACAGGGGTGCCCAATTCCACTCCTATAGCTATTATCCTGCAACTGTTAGATATATTCCTCTTCCGATACATCTGGATAAAATGACTGAATTTCCTCATTAGCATGCCATTCAGCTCTGCAGAGGCCTGGCAGTGAGCCATTCATTTAATCCAGGTGTGTTGGAGAGTTGCAGGACAGAAGGACTGGACTAGGATGCTATGATGGGCTATTGCATGGAATCATATAGGTTTCTGGTTGTCAAAGTGTGGAAATGAAGGAATAAAAGCATTTTTCCAAGGCATTATCACTTAATATATTCATGCTAGTTCCTTATAGACACTAAGTGCTCATATACAGTAACAAACCTGAAGCATTCCTTTATAAAAAATCACGTTTGACGAGGGCATGAGCACATTCGCAGTTACACTCCGAGGTACAATAACTTGTATCCCATGCCTCTCTGACTCCTGCAGCGATAGGGCCCTCAGAAGAGAGCCCTGCAATGCAGCATCTGTGTGATGTGCATGCGCGTGGACACGCCGACACACACGCACAAACACACGCGCACACACATTCAGCGAGATGGCGGCATGTAAAGTGCTCTGCTCGTAGGAGGGAGATGAGGCAACGGAGAGCGCGGTTATGAGAGTGCTGAAGCCTGATGAAAGGTGGAGGAGTGAGTAGGCGGAACAAAGGTGGTAGGAGGAGGAGGCAGGTGAGGATGAGGAAGAAATAACAGGTGGGAAGAAGCTCTCTAAGTGCTCGGGAAGAGAAGGAAGCAAATAAGATTGATGGACGTGAAAAATTGATTTCTTTATCAGCTCAGTCGTTACATTGTCTGGAAAATCGTCTAGCAAGGAATTCTAGCGAGGATAACAATTCATCAACTTCATCTCTTGATGACAGACACTCTTCCTGTGTCTGTGCTGCACAGACACGGGAGAAAATGGTTTCAAAATCCCTGGAAGTGAACCGGCAGAAAATTCAGCTTGCATAATAACCCTAAGGGGACCCTTTGACAGCTGCAAAATGTCACCATTAGAATTAGCTTTACTAATTGCTATAATTATATTGAAGAGATGTTATAAAAGGACAAACAGCATGTGATTAGTCTACTGATAGTTTGTTGATCAAAGATAATTTATGTAATTTTTTTGTAAAAACGGCAACAGAATACAAACTACATCTGTAACAATAGCCTTTTTTGTTTGTTTTCTGAATAATTTTACAGCTTTAGTTATTAAGTTAAATTGATATTACAGTTGAACTTCAAGCTTGAAAAGTCA